TGAGTTCCTTATCCATGTTTCCATCCGTACAGTCCTCCACACTCTCCAACGCATGCATTGGTCCTCCAAGGCAGTCACAAGAATTGCCAAGGAGAGGAATAATGCATTGCGCCATGACTATATTGTCCGCATGGCCAAGCTCATCACAGACCCCGCTCAGCTGATGTTTGGTGATGAAAGTGCAGTGGATGGACGCACATCAGTCCGTTGTCGAAGTTGGGCTCCAATTGGGAGTTGCTGTGTACAGCGTACTTGCTTTGTGTGAGGCAAACACTACTCCCTTCTCCCAATCTTGACATTTGAAGGGCTTATCACCTAGAACATTTTTGAGGGGTCAGTTACCTCTGAGATGTTTCTCGATTTTCTGAAGACCTGTGTGGTATGTAAAACAATCATCTGGACATATCCCACCATCTAACAACTCCCAGATACCACTTACAACACCTTATCCCAGCCCACGGAGCATACTCATGCTTGACAATTGCAATATCCACCATCCTGAGGCCATTTGTGAGCTAGTGGAGGATCAGGCATGTAAGTATCATTGCTCATGATACCAGATTACATTTGCTGAGTACTCCTCAGTGTGCAAGCTTGTGTTCTTGCCCCCATATTCCCCTGAATTCAATCTCATAGAGATGGCCTTCGCAAAAGTCAAGTCTGTGCTGCGACGGCACTTCAATGGGGAATCCCATGGTGTCTCGAATATCAGTGATGCTTGCTATACAATCGCGCTGGATGATGCAGTGGAATACTTCAGAGAGGCGGGATATATGTAGCACTGTATTTACACTGTTGCGCGAGTAATTGAAGGGCTAGTCCAAGCCTCAGCGAGGTAGGAGCAAGCCCAGAAATTGTGTGCACGAGCTTGTGACTTAGGTGCTTGATCAGGCACCCAGTTTTCGCAAATCACTTTTATGTATCAGTATGCTCTTTGCTGTAATCTGAATGTTGTTGTAGCTGTTAAACAATGAAAAGTTGGTCAGACCGGGGATTGAAACCGGGTCATCCCATATGCGCTGGGAGGTGTTACCACTACACCATCCAACCAATACTAGAGTGTGAATTCTCCAGATTCCAACAGTAGCTCCAGCAGACGTTGAGTGCAGTGTAAATCTTGGTGTTTTTGAGTTAGTCTATAAGTTCCACAATAAGTAGGAGTGGATACCGATTCTTCACTATGATGGCATTCAGTCGTCAGTAGTCTTGGACCAGTTACAGACTGTCATTCTTCTTTTTGACGAGGAAGAAGGGTGAGTGCACATATCAATAGAATTATGATCTTTATTTTGAGCCAAATTAGCCTCAACAAATCTCAGCATGCTCTGTGAGCATAAGCAGAAGATTTACAGCTAACATTTTGTTCTTGACTTCTGTGCACCACTTACTGATACCATTATGCAGTTACCAGTATTGGCTCATTATAACAGCTGAATGCTTATATATCTGTTCCTAGAACACGTGTCTGGCTTTGATTGGTACTGCATAGCTATTATCTGATGTTGATATTATATCAGAATCTGGTGTTGATTACCAGTGGCAGCTGTCTTCAGAATCTCACATGACTGCTCTTCTCTGAACATCTCTTTCAGCTCAAAGGTTGACACTTAGGAATTGTCATATACTCATCACTAGCTTCAGCTCAATAGCACAAGCTTCACTTTTAAAAGCTCAAAACAAGATTTTCAGTCAACATATTGAGCATATATATATCAGCAACTGTTGAACTTGGGAGGGCAACAGTTTATTTCATGGATGGCAACTATAAAGGATAGCTTGTAACTCACTTAGAAGTGTTGTATGCGGAGTGGGGTTACAGGGTCTCCCTGTATATAATACTGTACAAGTGTGGCTATGTAGCACTATACAGTACCTTCTCAGAATACACAGTAGTATAGAGAAACAGTGCATACACAACAAAGCTGTGCATGTTCTATATGAGTGGTACAGCCTCAGTCATTGTAGTAGCCAGCTGTACCATTATATAGCATATGACAATTGTGTGAGACATGCTATGAGCAAGCACCTACGTAACAGCAACAATTTATATAATATATCAGAATAGAGTGCAACGAGAGAATCTTTATGCTACAACACTTTAGCATCATCACTCAATATACTCGATGAGATACTCTATGTTTATTAGTGCATTGTGTTTGTCATTTGATTATTTTGACCTGAAACATAATATTTTAAATAAAATTCAGATTGAGTATACACTGTGGAGCTATTATAACACTGTTGATAATCAGCATAATCAAAGCATCTTGTGTTATCTGAGCTATCTGCAGCATATCTGTAGCATTATTACGGTTAAATGTAGAAGAATATATATCAAAAGCTTATCTTCATTGATACACAATATAACATTTCACTCAATAATAAAAACAAAAGATCTACAACTTGTCTAGCATTAGTGTAATCTCATCATTATTGTTGAGTATGCACATCAAAAGAAAAAGTCCCATATGTGATAGCCTCAATATTTTGATCTAATATGTGATCACCATATTGTGTAACTTTATATTATCTTCTTTGCTGCTGCCGCTCTATATACGCTAGAGCTAGAAGTTTCATAATCAGTGTCAATGCTACTTATACTCTTCAATGTTTAACATTATTCAACACTATATGCAATTGTGATGGCTTGTAATTGACAGTTAAATGTTACATATTAGCCAATCTATATGGATTTAATTGTATATTATCATTGGTGGTACTAAAGGTTGACGAATATTCTATTCAACAAGGTAAAGTCTCAGCATGCTCAGATAATTATTTATAATAGTGTGGGTGTTACTGAGATATACCTATGACGTGTGTGAGAGTTACCTGATAGAAAGACTAGGTAACTATCACCTGAGATAATCAGATCAGATGTAGGCCAGATAGCTTCCCTCAGTTGTTCAGTATAGTAGTGAAGAGGTTGAGTAGGTGGGGAAAGTGGTGAGAGGGTTGTTAAAGTGATAGGCCTATACAGAGGTCAGATGAGAACCTGTTGGAGGTCTAAATAATTCTAAATAATTTCTGAGGATATAGATGTGATGGAAAGTCTATCTGAGACTCTTAATGAGCTAATGAGGGCATACCACAAACCTAGGTTACCAGAATTTGACTGGGGACTCTGAAGCTTAAGGGAATCACACTAGTGAGAGTAGAGAGGAAAGGGGTGATTGATTTATAGGTGTGCCAGCCTCTGGCCTGATATACTATCCTGACAATAGGACCAAATACTTACAAGCAATTCTAGCTACTATTGTGCTAAAGATAGACAATAGTCCATGAACAATAAATATCAAACACCACTTGTCCATTGTCCTGACTGCTCAATGTTCTATTTATAAGAGAATTCCTATTGCTATTATTGCACAGCTAAGGTCACATAGCTGTTGGTGTCATCTGACTGAGGATTGGTCACATATTTGATCAACTGAGGGTGGGAGCTGAGAGATGATGTCAATTGACTAGATTTCCCATAGACCAGTGGGGATCTTGTTTGGTTGCAGTAGTCCGTGCAGTTGTTTCCTGACTGACTTGTTCCGTTGGCAAGTGTCGCATCCTTGCACGTACTTCTTGACGTTCACTGACATGCCAGGCCACCAATAGTTCTGTGCAATGACCTTTAAGGTCTTCCATCTTTCTGGGTGACCTGCTAGTAGTGTGTTGTGATGTAGTTTAAGCAGGTCGAGGCAGATGCTTTGGTCTTTGGGCATGTAGACTTTGCCTCAGTAACAGTTAACTGTTCTCCATGTTCTAATCCTGTAGGTACTTTCCAAACTCTCAGGGACCACTGGCTAGCAACTCCTTGTAGTGCTTCGTCATTTTGTCATCTTCAAGGGCCTTCTTGATGCGTTCAAGTAGCTCCTTATCGTCAACAATGGAGGCATGACCAGGTTGCATAGCTTTGATTGCAAAAAAACTCAGGTTTCAGCAGTGTCTGTTCAAAGTGATAGCTGCTTATCCCCTCTTCATAATCTGGCCTTCTGGACAGAGGGTCGGCTCGTAGCATTGTCTTTCCTGGATAGTGCTTCAGAATGAAGTTGAAGCGAGACATGAATAAACTCCGTTGGGCTTGTTGGCATGTGAGCTTCTGTGCTTGTCGGAAGTAGGTGAGATTGAGATGGTCTGACCAGATCTCAGTTGGTTCAGGGTGTCCCTCCGATATTATTCCAAGGCTCGGATGATGGCTAAGAGCTCCTTGTTGTAGATCTCATAGTTGTGTTTGTGAACATTTAGGGACTTGGAATAGAAAACAACTGGGTGCCACAGCTTATCTTCTCCAAGTTGTTCCAAAACTGCTCCCATTGCAAAGTCAGACTCTAGCCTATATTGAGCTGTATCATTCAGGATTTAAAGGATTGGAGCCGTTATAAATGTGGTTTGAGTCCTTCGAAGGCCTGCTCTTGTTCTTTTCCCCATTGCCACTGGATGTCCTTGTATGTGAGCTTTGTGAGTGGTCGTGCAATCTTGGCAAAGTCCTTGATGAAGTGTTGATAGAAGTTGGCTAATCCGAGGAAAGCTTGAACGTATTTGACTTTGGTCGGAGTAGGCCATTCTTTAACATCTTGTATCTTAAACTTGTCCATGGAGATTGAGTCCTTCGACACAACAAGTCCCAGAAAATGAACTAAGGGTTGCTCAAACTTGCACTTTTCTAGTTTGACAAAGAGATCATTGTTGCGCAGCTTCTTTAGAACCTGCTCCATCAGTTGGCGATGCAGAGTGAGGTCGTCTGTGAAGATGAGGATATCGTCGATGTAGACCACAACATGTCCTATTGCAATTTCTTCCTTCAGGTCCTCGTTTATCATTGCTTGGAACGAACGAGGTGCATTGCATAGACTGAAGGTCACAACCGTTGGCTCGTATAGTCCCTTATGAGTGATAAACACAGCCTTCTCTTCATCTCCTTTACAAATGTGGACATTGTTGTAGCCCCACCTTAGGTCGAGTGAGGTGAAGATCAATGCATGAGAGAGCCTATCTACAAGGTCTGAAATCTAGGGAAACTTGTCCTTCTTTGTGACTGTATTTAGTGCGCGGTAGTCTTGAACCAAACGTAAACTCCCATCCTTCTTACGGACAAAGAAGACTGACACAGCAGTAGGGCTTTTAGACATGTGGATATAGCCCTTGCCTTCTTGTTCCGTGATCCAGGCTTCAAGTGAGTTTCATCGGTACTGCCAGCTCATCATGTACCTACCTGCTCTTTAGTCCGTATGGCGATGAGCCTCTTCGGTTTGTGTTTGAGGCCTGGGTGGGGCTTTGTTCTGTCTGAGCCTGGAGAGCCCTGAGTGCCATTTTGGTGCCCTAAACCTCTTGTCTATGCGTCTATGCATCTCTCTCTCTCGCTCTTCCTTAACTCTATCATTCACTCTCTGCACTCGCTATCTGCACCCAATTAGCCATCATCGACCAGATCACACCACTGCCACTAATAAGTTTTGCTCGAGTGGGTACAGTTTGGCCAGTTTTGAGAGTGAGGCTCCAGGGAGTGGTTCAAATGCATGGTCATAAAGTGTCCTTGTTGGCATCCTTTCAGAGGCTTTCTTGGCGAAGATGTCACTATACTATCAATACTGTTCAGGCACATGGTTTGACCAGTAGTTGTGATCATGTTCGCCTTTTACCACAGAGTTTGTGTCCTTCTTCTCTTCTAACCAGGCCCGCATCTGACGAGCGCTCAGGTCATCTAAGAAGTTCACCCAATGGATAAACTGATCAGCACTCTTCCATGATTCCGGGCTGAGGTCACCATACTGATCTAGTGCAACACTTTCCACTCAGGGGAGTTGCAAACTCCATAGTTCTTCATCCTGCGCTGTGTGCTGGGTGTTGGAGTCGGTGCTGTAGCGCCGTCAATCCTAATCGCACAAAGTCCTGCTTTGTGCCATACATGGTTTGCACTGTCCACTACCTATAGTAATTTTTGTATAGTCACAACTCTGGTTTCCATAGAGATATCGCATTTGTCACAGTTTTCTCGTGCCACGTGACCTGGGGGTCATGTGTACTGGGATAGACGCTCACCTTGACCGCGGACAACTCGTATCGGAAAGTGGAGGGGCCAGGATCGAACCCCAGACCTCGTGACATCCAGGAGCCCATCCTTACTCACTGGCAGGTGACTGATGTGACAGCAGAAGCGCTTACTCATTGGAAGGAGTCCAGACTCGGCACGACTCAGGTATTAGTCGTAAGGTCACCATGAGGCAGGTCAGAGGATAGGACATGAGGCAGAGAACTCTGACCAAACAATGGTCAATAGGTACCTGGTCTGTGCACCGTTGTATTAGTATATATAGTAGGGAGTCTGAGGCAGGGAAACCTCAGACTTGATCTTCTTGTCAATCACCCATCTCCTCTGTAGGTAGCTAGCAGCCCTACCTCTCACTGCCCCTTCTAGTTTAGGGAATCTACTTCTTTGCACCATCTCTTGCTGTGTCACCTGGAGTTGCTCCGCCCCTCAGCACCAACCCCATCACCAGTAAGCTTGTCTTTGTTTGTCTGGTGGCACAGCTCGTTGGCTGTGACATTAGATCAAGTCTCTTACCCATCCCCTCCGTGGAGTGTCTCAACCACTTGCGGACCGGATCTCTTCCCCCAGGAGTTTTTTGAAACATTTATCAT